GGGTGTGCCGAGCCGGGGTGGGGGGCACGCGCCGCCGGGGCTGCAACCCAGGGAGCGCCCGCTGGGCGAAGGGGAAGGAAAGACTTTGGTGAATGAGGTTTTTTCTCCCGTTCACTGTCACATTCATCTCACAGCAGCTTGAGTCCCCTGAGCAGTGCTCGCTGTGCGCCGCAGCCCTCTCCAGCACAGGACAAAGGTAGCACCTGGTCCCTCCTAGCCTGAAGGAACAGAAGTTGTTTCCCAAAATATTTTTAAACCAGCATTCAAACGCTTGCTGGTGAACCCTCTTGCTACATAAACATCAAATTCGTATCTAAGGACAGAGGGAAGGAAATCCAGCCGGGACGAGGCAGCTGCCTAGGAGAGTGACTGAGTCTTGGAACGTTAATTCTTGATGAAGAAGAGGAGAACAAGAGCATCTCATCCAACCTCCCCACCACCACCACCAGCAGGAAGCCATGAGGTTACGCACGAGAATACCCAAGTTCAGACAAACACCAGCCCTTAGCAATTACTCAGAGCGCTAACCAGCTGCCATTAAACCAGTTCTCCACGCCGTGGAGTGGTGGGGAGGTTGCGAGATGGGAAACCCAAGCCTTGCAAGACCTAGGACAGAACAGTTCACCAAGAACTGCATCAACACCCTCTTCCCTGGTCAGAAGGGATCCCACAAGCAGCAGAACCGTCCTGGCAGATTATGACCATGGATCACACATTCCCCGGGGCCAGCAGAGAAAGCCATGCTGGAGGACACCCAAGTCCTGTACCCCGCTACACAGGTCACGCTTAACCACAGGGTACGTTAACTCTTCCCAGAAACGGGCTGCCTGGGATTGCCGCAACGCAGAACCCTCCCCGGCAGCCAGATACCGCCGGGGAGGAACGCACTAAAAGGGGCAATCCTGCCTCTTCTCCAAGTGAGGTTTTTCCTGCTTTTATGAACCTAAAATGGACGTTAAAGAAGTGATGAGAAATTACCTGCAGTTCTCTAGCAACAAGAGTACCTTTGTGTAACGCCAGGAGCCTGCTCTGAACTGCAGCCACGCAATTCCAGTCGGGTGGAAGGGCGCTGCAGCGCCGGTGAGAGGCCGGGCTGGGGCTGGGGGCAGAGCTGCTCCTGCAGCCCCCGGGGGGGGCCGGGCAGCGCGGGAGCCCTGCGGTTCTGCTGCGGTGGGAGTCGGGGAAACCATGGGCGCTCCCACCTGCATCTGAAAAACTGCCAGGGGAAAAGAAACCAGTGGGCTAGACAGACTTTTCCTTCTTCTCCACTCCCTGCCTTTTAAAAACTATTATATCTAAAGAAAAAAAAGCTTGGCACTTCTCTAACACCCGCTTCTCCAAAATCGTCCGTCTGGGACACTAACAGCTCTGTCGATGCGGCGAGGCCGTTCGCTCTCTACGACAAACGCTTCTGGATAGAAATCACGGAAAGAGCAGTGCGTGAACAGCATCTTCTCCTTGAGGTAGTCTTAGTCATCTCGGTCCCCAGCCCCCAAATACAAAAGAACTAACCCTAACAAACACTGTAACATTAAACATCTTCACATTCTGTAAACCGCTGGAGAATGCATCTGCTGCATTCATACAGAACCATGTGCATCGTGTTGAAGATCATACATTCAACTCTGTCGTGAAATAAATATATAGGAAAAAGAGTAAAAAAACAAACACAAACAAAAAAAAAAAAAAGATTCTTGCTACAACGGCAGGGACGCCCACCGCCCCGCCTCCTGCCTGGATCGCGTTTGCCCCTCTCCCGGGGTGAGCCAGCTCCCTGCCTGAGGCACAGCGTAAGGCACCGGCCGGGGCCAGCTGGGCTCACTCTTTGCTCACACTCGTCTTGCAGGAATGTAGAACGGCCTTAAAAAGGAGAGGCAGCTGCTCCAGGGGGACGTTCACCATTTTTCCTGGTAAGAAGAAAAAACAGAATTAGCAGCCACTCCTGAATCAGATTTCAGAGACACCTAAGCCGGCAACACTGGAGCTGGTTTTACCTTGAACCTCTCGGAGAAACAGTTAATCATCCTACTGCTACATTAGATATTTGATATTCATTTGGACATAACAGGATTTATTATTTACCGAATCGAAAGCAAAATAAATGGGCAAAGTGAGATCAAAATGATTTCTCCACAATGAAGCAGTATTTATAGAAACTGGGAAAGACTAAATCCTGTCTCTCCTCTAACTCCCTTGTTGATCTCAATGAGTAAATTACAAGAGCTGCTCTGTGATTATTATCTAGTTCATTACAACGGAGTAGGATGAAGCATACGGAGCCTTGACACAGGGAGGCAAGTATCTCCCTTTGCCATAACATTCAGGAACAAACCATGTTTTAGTGACACCGGACCTTGTGGATCTAATTAGTGACACGACTGCATTTGAAAATTCACCTGCGGATTTCAGAGGTCCAGGCGAGCTGAGACCTGGGGGCTACCCTGCAGAACCTTATCACCTGCTCCTTACGCAGGCGGCATGGCAGGGACCTCTCTGCTTCTTACGAGAGACCTCCTTGAGCCAGGATTACACCCTTCCGAGACAAAATGCCTCCGGGTTGGGAGTGAAAGGAAGAAAATAAAATGAGAACCTGACCAAAGGACTTAAAGGGTGGCAGGTCAGAGCAAGGTGCATCTCCCTGGGAGCAGGAGGTGACGCCGCGGCCACCAGCGTCACAGGGACGACCTGCAGAGACCTGGCTTCGGTTGGAAAAGGCCCCACACAAACACCCTCCACCGGAGCCAGCGAGAATTTCACTGTTACGAATTAATTTTCTTTTGAAGGCAGATTTTGTAATGTGCATACGATCCCAGCGGGAGATGAGCTCAGAAAGTTACCTGCAATGTAACGTATCTCTGGCAAACACATCATTAAATCCGGAAAACGGTTTGGCTGGTGGGGGTATTTGTACTCCGTGAAGTCCTGGCAGACGTACCAATACCGCTTGTTCAGCTGCTCCAGCTGGGACGCGTTAGTCAGACCCCTGATGTCTGAAAGCGAACGTGAGGAGGGTAATGAAAACGTGACAAAAACATCCCAAGGAGCAGCAGCCTCGCACTCACTGCCATTTCCGCTGGAAAGACAAACCGATTGCTCAAGCTCTAAGCTGGGTCCCTGCTTCAGAGACTGGGTTCAAGTGCCCAGTTGGGCAAATACTAAAACTCCCGTCTCCCCTCCGGGTGCGCCCGGATGGGCCTTTCCACACGTGTCTGGGTACGGGATTTCCTTCCACGGAAGATGGGGATGAGAACAGCTGATGGCCTAAGCTGCTCATATGCAGAGCTCAATGGATGCTCTTGGAGATAACAGCTCCAGCAACCTTAAATCCCCGCCTGCCTGGGGTAAAGTAGCTGTATGTCAAGGTTTAGTCCTCACAGCGGATTCAGCGTAATACTTCCTCAGACAGAAACATGTTGATTTTAGCTATATCATCTCGGCTGAGGAAGGCGCTCGACTCTATAATTCAAGGTATCATCATATTTCTCCCCATCTGCTTACGAATTATGTCACATGAGCTTTATAAACTTGTCAACCTCTTATTTTTAAATTTAGCTTTGCCGATGTCAGGCAACACACAGAAAGGAAAAAATGGACTTTTCCAAGCTATCAAACTGGCAGGAAGTCCCAGTGCCACCGTCGGGCGTGATCAACGGCACCGGCACGCTGCCGGGGGTCCTGGGACGGATCCAGCACGCTGGAGCCAGGAAACTCCGGACCCTCGGTGCAGGCTCGGTATTGTAAGACCATCTGACGGAAGAGGCATTTATCTACTGCCCAAAAAGCTGACTTTTAAAAATAATTCTCAGGTATTTCACATAAAAAATTGCAAACTTCAACTAAAAATAAAAGAAGACAGGAAGTTAATGAAAATACATTTTGGAAAACAATGGAGACAGCTCGAGAAGTGCATTATCCAGCGTCAGGAAACTGCCCAGGGAAGCAAACCGGAACCTGAGCCCGGCACAGACTGAAGCGTCAGCACTATCTCCTGCTGGAAACGAGTGGGGGAGGAGAGACCGTGCAGCACATCTCCACAGACCGCAACTATCTTTCACCGTACAAAAGGCTCTGGGGACATTTATTTCCAAATTCACAGCCGAACACCACCCATTAAGCACTTGCCTCTCAACAGTTTTCTTCATTTACATGAGGAAATGTCCTGTGAGGCCCCACGGATGCGGGGCCACAACAAATGGCTGGGAAGGGGGATCCACAGCAGAGGATCAAAACAAGCTACAGGGGTGGAGACGGGCACAAACACTACTGCGGAACAAATCCCCTCTATTCCAAACTATTTCAGCCCACTACAGCTGTTAGGAAATGACCAGGATCTTCCGACACGGTGAAGAATCACTCTGCAATGGATTTTGAAATGTCCAGGGTCTTGCAGCAGCCTGGACTACCAGCTTTGAACACACTGGTTCATCCACAGGAGGATGCAGTCCTTTCTCCAGCAGAATTCACTGCCTGCACATAAATACTTCATTCACGATTACTTTTCGCTTTGAAGAGTTGGCAATCTGAAAGTAGGAAGTCAGCTAGGTGACCTAAGCGTTTATCCTGAAGGTAAATGTTTTAAAGACTCAGAAAAGCTCTAAAAAAAAGGGAGGACTCGTTTTGCAAATCCATTCTTTAAAGCAGAAAAATGAACAATACATTTTCTAGTTAAGAACCCTTGACAGGTTGTTATGCAAATAGTCAACATTTACTTCAGAAAAAAAGTCATGCAGATCAACTGGTTTTAAAGTATCATTTAGTTAATCACCGAATGGTTTGGGTTGGAACTGACCTTAAAGACCATCTAGTTCCAACCCCCGTATATGGGCAGGGACACCTCCCACCAGATTTTTCAGATGACACATCCTTGTCTGACGAAGTCTGTTAGCAGCTGGTAAGTCATCACCCACCCAAACCTTTCCCAGAAAGTTTTCACCAG